CCCCACCCCAGTGCCCTTTTGGAGTCAGAAGAACCTGGATGCGAATCCCGCCTCCCGCCTCTGCACGGACGAGGGGTGTAACCTTGAGCGAGTCGCTTAAGCGCTCTCAAGTTCATTCTCTGTATCTGCAAGATGAAGAAAATCTCCCTGCCGTCTTGATAGGGTTTGGGGGAGATGAAGACGACGGAGTAAAGAACTCAGATTTCTTTCCTGCGACTCGATGTTCTGTGCGCTCTCTACTCTTCTCCATGTCTTCTCCCAAAACAATCAAGTGACTCCTGACCAAGAGGCAAAAACAAAACCGTCCGGTTCCCCCAAAAAGATCCTAATTAGATTTGGTGATAAAAATCAGCTACAACCCCAGGGAGAGACACTGGAAATGAAGGACCCACCTGAGTCTGTAAGGCCTTGCATAGGAGATGGCAGACGTGATGCCATCAGGGTGCCTGGCATCTCACCACATCAAGCTGAAAAGGTCACAGCTATCAGGAAAGTTGAGTATCCTGATAACTTTCCTGTCTTGGAGCTGTGCTCTGAGCTAGCTCACTGCTTCCGATGTAAGTGAGCGCTTTAGAGAGAGAAGGAGAGATCTACCAACACCCATTAGCAGCCATGTTTTTCTATATCCATTCATTAGCTCCACAGATCCTCGGAGGGTGCCTCATGTAAGAGGCAGCACAGGGGTGTCCGGCTCCCAAGGGCTTACAGCTCAAAGGGAGAGCCACACACCAATTCTAAGACTCACGCTCAAGTCCTGCTTGAGGAAGGGGATGGGGCTTGAGGAAGGGGATGGGGCTTGAGGAAGGGGATGGGGCGGGGAAAGGGGGGGGGGGGGGGGCTTAGGATAGGTTTCCTAAGGAAATGACAGCTGAGGTGAGGTGTGAATTTAGGAGTGAGGGAGACTAATTTAGGGAAGAAATCAGGAAGAGCATTCTAGAAAAAGGAAACATACACGAAGGCCCTACAGTCAAAAGGACTGAAGCCACCCAGGGCCTACAGCAGGTGGTGTGTGAGAGAATGGGTCTCTACGATGGACAAGATCTGAAAGGTCATTGCGTTCAGTTTCTTTATTTGTTGGCCTCAATTTGACTAAACATATCTGGGAAGAGGGAATCTTTTGTTTTGGTTTGGTTTGTTTCTCAAGACAGGGTTTCTCTGTGGCTTTGGAGGCTGTCTGGAACTAGGCAGGCTGGTCTCAAACTCACAGAGATCCACCTGCCTCTGCCTCCCAACTGCTGGGACTAAAGGTGTGTGCCACCACGGCCCGGCTCGAAGAGGGAATCTTAATTGAGAAAACGCCCGATAAGATTTGCCTGTAGACAAGTCTGTGGAACATTTTCTTTATTACTGATGTGGGGGTGCAAATGCCACCCCTGAGCAGCCACTCCTCGGCTGTATTAGAAAGCAGGTTGAGAAAGCCAGTAAGCCGTGTTCTTCTGTGGCTTCTGCCTCAGTTTCTGCCTCCAAGTTCCTGCCCTGAGATTCTTAGAGAATGGGCTATGATGTGCCCATCAGGTAAGCCAAGCAAACCCTTTCCTCCCCTAAATGCTTTTGGTCCCGGTGTTTTATCACAGCAATAAAAAAAAAAAAAACCCTAAGACAAGCAACCTAAGAAGGGCTGGAGAGGTGACTCGGTGGCTAAGAGCACTTGCTGTTCCTGCAGAGGACTGGAGTTCAGTTCCCAGCATCCACATGGTGACTCTCAACAATCTGTACTCTAGTTCTAAGGTTTTGTTTTGTTTTTTAAGATTTATTTATTTATTATGTACACAGTGTTCTGCCTGCATGCATCCCTGCAGGCCAGAAGAGGGCATCAGATCTCATTACAGATGGTTGTGAGCCACTATGTGGTTGCTGGGAATTGAACTCAGGTCCTCTGGAACAACCAGTGCTTTTAACCCCTGAGCCATCTCTCCAGCCTGTGTTCTAGGGGTTCTGGCCCTCCCCTCTTCTGGCCTTCATGGACATTGCATACACATGGTGCACATACAATCCTGCAGCAAAAATTCAACAAACAAAAAAAGATCTCCCAGTGTGGTGGCACACACCTTTAATCCCGGCACTCAGGTGGCAGGGGCAGGCAGATCTCGATGAATTCAAGACCAGCCAGGTCGACTCAGCCTGTTCCAGGACAGCTAGGGCTGCGTAGTGAGACCCTGTCTTAAAAACAAGACCACCTTAAGGACCACTTGTGCTGTTAGAAGAGCAAATGAGGGAGTGGGGGGTCATTTAACTGACTCTTCCTTCCCACACCCATTCTCCAGCCCAGATCCTGAGCCATCCTTTTCCTTAAGGTTCCCAGACATTCTAGAACATTCTCTCTACCAAACTGTTGCATGCCTGGGAACTCTATTTCTAGTCAGACAGAGAGGACAAGGACAGACCAAAGAAAAGATCTATTTAAGTCTAGTTTGGCTACTTGCTTTAGCTGCTTATAAGAGCTTGGGTGCGGGGTTACCTACTAGAGGAGGAAAACCTAGAGCAGGTTCATCACCAACAAAAGCCCCATGCACTCGTGGATGATGACTTAAGGGAAATCCCTGGCACAACTCTTGGGCATCTACAACACTGAAGAGTCTCCACTCCCTAGCAACTCTTTGCTGTTTATTTGCCCTGAGCCAAGAAGCTCAGCATCTGTCATAAGTTTGCTGGGCTTCCTACATTTTTATTTCTTATGAGTCTGTTCACACATGCCCTCCAAAGAGACATTTTTTGTTTTGTTTTTCGAGACCTGTTTCTCTGTGTTAACAGTCTTGGCTGTCTTGGAACTCACTTTGTTGACCAGACTGGCTTCAAACTCACAGAGATCCACCTGCCTCTGCCTCCTGAGTGCTTGGATTAAAGGTGTGCGCCCCCACTGCCTAGCTTTTTTTTTTTTTTAAGATAGGGCCCTACTGTACAGCCCAGGGACTCACAGTGTAGACTATGTTACCTTCAAACCAGTGGTAATCTCCTGACTGTGCCTCCCAAGTGCTGGAATTACAGATGTGAGCTACTATGCCTGGCAGTCAAGGGAATGTTTGAAAGATGAAATGGCTATACAACCTGTGGTGGTTTGTTGGGGGCTATTACTTTACCTATGTGAAGATGTGTTACTCTGTTTATGTTGCAGAATATTACTTTAACTAGGTAAAGATGTCGCCAGGCAGTGGTGGCTCACACCTTTAGTCCCAGCACTCGGGAGGCAGAGGCATTTGGATCTCTGTGACTTTGAGGCCAGGGAAGTCTGGTCCTATGGGATGCTCAAGAAATGTCATTTGAAATGACAAAGACCCCCAGGTGGATTGGAGTAAGACCGTATTGGAACATCTCAGTTATGTGCTCTTGGCTAATGTCCTGGGTTCTGAGAGAAGGCTGGCGGGGAAAGTTCCCTCCCTCATCCCCCCAGTAGTCATTTATAAAGGCATTTATTTCTTCCCAGAAAGAACAGGGTCAGGGGCTCGAGAGATGGCTCAGCAGTCAAAAGCCAGTATTGCTCTTGTGAAAGAGCCAAATTTGGTTCCCAGCATCCATATTAAGAAGGCTCAAAACTGCCTGTAGCTCAGCCCCAGGAGGATCAGACACTGAAGCCCGTTCTCTCTCTCTCTCTCTCTCTCTCTCTCTCTCTCTCTCTCTCTACTAAATACAAACATACAAAATGCCTAAGTCAAGACTGAACATGAATTTTTATTTATTTATTTATTTTATAAGTATTTTTTTTTCTGAGACAGGGTTTCTCTGTGTCTTTGGAGGCTGTCCTGG